ACCAATAGATTCAGTTTATGTCTGAGGAATATTTCAGGCTAGCAGCAGAAGTGAGAGGTGGGGATGTTTTAGTGCCCCAGAACACTCCTATACACTTACATTCACAGTATTTCACTGACAGGTGCAGGACCCTGACAGGTTGTTCCGGAATGGAGTACAAATGCAACAGTGGCAATACTACACCTCTGGTGACGCTCCCGAGTGTTGCAGCATTGATGGCAAGATCTGTAATTACCAAATAAAAGATATGTGAGAAAAAAAACCCTATTGTGAGAATATGCCATTGTCTAGAGCTTAAGACAAAATCAAACAAACATTTTTCACATGCTAGCAAGTTGTTTTTAAATTTTTAAAAATTAACCTACTGATTTTACAAAATTTACACTCACTAGGTGGTAGTGATAGATTTTTAAAACATGTAAAATGCCTTTTTGTTCCTAGAGAACTATCTGAATACTCCTATATCTAAGTAAGCAACTTCTAAAAGTCAATCTAGGTTAAATACACATTTAAAAAATGAAAATCAAAATGGTATGCAAACAATGATATAACTCACTTTTAAATTATTTTTGTTCTATCAAAATAACTTCTTTCCCTAAATTACACTTCTTTTTTATTGTGTCTGGTGTCCAGAAACTGCTGTACCTCAAGAAATTTGTCAGTAGTTCCTGTTTTACTGGGTTTTCTCCTGGGAAACTTGTTATAATTTAAGTATAAATGCTGAAGAATTACTTATATCTTTGTATCCTTTGGTTCTCATCTAATAGAATAAAAATGTAAAGGTGATTTTATTTTGCATAATGCTTTTTCAATGTTTTTCTACCCATTTTTGCATTTTTTTCTTAATCTCATAATCTCCAAATAGCCTTCAGGTATTAAACAAAATAATACCTCGATCTGTAGTTTAGCTTTCTTGTACTTTAGTTGTTTATCTGTCATTGTCTTAGTCTCCTTGCTTCTGTTTCTCAAGGTCAAGGAATGTGGAAACATCCTCTGAAGTGCATGGGCCAGGCTTCAAATGGGTTTTATCCAATCCTCGTGTGACATTGCTGTGATCTCGCAGCTTTTAATCTGCTTTTGTAGTTGTCCATGAATCCCTGTAAGATGGCCTTACTGTAATGATGTACACATAGATATTTAATTTTTGAGCTTATGGTTCTCATCTTAAAAACCCCTGCTCTAGGAGCTTTGTTTAAGACAAAAGTTTAGCACAGTTTCATTTGTCGTCGTTGTTATTCAGGTGCACTCCTGTCTGTGGAACTTTCATAATTTTTCTCTAACCTTCTTGCCTGTCTCTTTTTAAAAAATTCAAGAATCTACTTCTCTTCCCAATACTTACTGTTCATAACACATTGAAAGACTAGTATATTTACTAAATAGAACTGGGTATTCTTTGTTTTTCATTTTGTATAAGTTGTGAGACATGATATCTTTTTCTTTCTGAGGTTAACAATAAAATTTAAAATGTCTTTATTTGTGTTGTGTATATTACCCATTAGTGCTGTATGAGCCAGGGTTCAGGGTTGCAAGCAACAGAAACAAACTCTGACTAAATTAAGCAGAAAGGAATTTATTGGCAGGATGCAGGGTAACCTTTGGAAACAGTGGGAATGATGAAGGACTGGGCTTAGAAAACAGATAATAGGAACTAAGGGAGACTCAGGAACTAAGAAACTTAGCCAAGCTCATGCTACAGGACTGCTGGTTCAGTTGCTACCATTAGCGTGGGCTGCTACCTCTGGAACCTCATAGTCAGCATCATAGGGGACAATCTTTCAAGTCTTTCTGTTTTTTGGATCCTGTAGGATTCATAGTCCCGGTGGGAATGGTGACTTCTCTGAGGCCAGGGGACATGGACATGCTTTAACCGGGGAGAATAGAGAGGGAGTATTTAGAATTTTGGTCCTTCCATTTCAAGTGGGAGGCAAAGCTGTCACTTTCCTCCAGAGTCTATGATAGTGTTATTGCTCTGAATATGAGTGATGTGTAAATGCTGGAAAGTCCACTACAAATTGTTTGAGATACTTTTCTTCTTAACAGAAAGAAACAATATTTCACACCCTTGCTTCAATCTTCTTGTCACATAGTCAGAAAAATCAGTGCCCAAATATACCTGGCATTTCCAAGACTAGTCTTACAGGTAGAAGGGACCCTACTTTCCCGAGTCACTAAGACCCACACTTGCATCTCCTATCTCCTTGGAGAAAACAGTGTGGTGGTGAACCCATAAGCTAGTTTCCTCTTCTTTCTTGTTAACCAAATTCTGATTTTTTTCAAGTTCTCATACTCTATGATACAACCACATACCTCACAAGACTGGTCCTGCCTTGTGTTGGCCCAACACAGTTCTCGTTAATGCTTCACGAACAGATTTTGGCTAGAGCACATGATGCAATTCTGATACATGGGGAACATGGGGACCTTGATGCAGCATTCGAGAGGAAGTTTTCATGATTCTCAAAGAGACTCTCAGGAAGAAATTCTGTCTTTCCTCTGCCCTGTGCCATGTCTGAATGTGATGTCTGGCATTGCTGCAGCCACCTAACCTATTCTTTATGTATGAGAATGTACTTTTGCTTAATATGCTTTTCACTTTTAACCAGTTTATATCATTGATTATGTCCCTTAAGAATATCTTAGTGGTCATCTTTGTTTATTCTTTTCAACGATTCTGCTATTTGTTAAATATTTTGTGTAGAGAACCCACATTTCCTGTTACAGTTAATATTAAAACATTCTTCTACTTCATATCATAATGTCAAATCTGCTGATTGACTTTCACACATATAATATAAACAAATTTCCATTTAGATTCGTAACTCCAGCCACTTCCATATTCACTGTAGGTTTGAAAAGAACTTGAAATCTCATTTAATCATGGACCAAATGTTCGACTTCATCTTGTCAAATGGTTACTGTACCAAGACTTCTGAAGTTTCAGTAGCAGAAACCTTCCCCCACAGATCACATCCTAGTATTGGCAGTTGTTCTCAGTAACCCTATCTCTACCACTCCTTCCCCAGCTTCCAGAAACCTCCCTGGCACATGCCAAGTGCACCATACATTCTGTGGAATGAATGAATAAATGATTATCAAAAAACCACATTCATTATTCTTTAAACTTCTTTGTAATTCTACAAAGACAAAGCAAAATTTCCTTAATTTAAAATATGACTTTTTTTGTGTGTGTAAGAGGAAAGATAAAATAACTCATGAAAACATTTGGGACTTCTTTGGGGGAAGAAAAGAGTTGACCAATGTGGAATTCCAATAACACCTGAAACTGGGACTGCTGGGAGTCCATGCAATTGCCCTGATACTGAGGTGGGAAAGCTGGAGCTGCTTCCTTAGCCTGGGTATTTGCCATTTCAGCCCGCTTGCAGTGTAAATCTGTACCTCATTCTGAATTGAGGAGGGAACCAAGAGATCGAGTTGATAACCGATATTGAGCCAAGGTCAACTCATACCATGAACAGTAGGGTTTTTATGATCTGCCTATGGAGAGAATCATGTAGTCATGTGTTGGACCTTTCAAGGTCTATGTAGTATTTCTTTGTTCCCTATTTTGGTTTATCTTAGCACTATTCATAGGCTGAAACCAATAATAAAGAGTTCTAATTTTAATACTTTTTATTATAGCACCACTAAAATAAAATTCAAATTTGTTTCATAATTCCCAATGTTCCCAAGTTTATTCATTTAAGTGCTGCAAAAGCATAAAATATAATTTTGACAATTAAATCTGAAATGATTTCTTTAAATCCAGGTCCCTGGGTTCTAATTGAAAATGCCCCCTGTGGCACTTTCAAAGTCAATATTGAGATTCAGACTGGATAGTCAGGGTTGTACTTTTTCAATAAAGTTCTTCACAATGCCTGAGGATGATGATGTATTTGTGGTTGGAAGCTAGGTTGGGCATTGCTTCTCTAAGAGTCTGATTAGGTGGGAGTTGCCGTTTGCTGGACTGTGAGTTCCCAACAAAGCTGAGTCTGTCACAGGTGCTATAATTTGTATTTCAGAAAATTTGCTTTCTCAACTTTAATTATCACCAAAGTATTCCACTCTAAATAAAGTACTGAAAGGAGTCAGCAATTTTTTTTTTTAGTTTCAGTACTGTGATGTAAATTAGGATTTTGTCTACCACCTACACGTTGTAGAGATGATGGAATTTCAAATGAAGGAAGGGGCTCTCTGTTTTATAAAATAAAACACCATTTCCTACTTTGGATTCAGAAAAACATAATGCCAAGTAGCCATATCTAAACAGCACATTCAGAGTGACGTAAACCATGTTTCACAGGAGAGAGCAGACATGAATTAGATAGAAAGTGTATGGGTTTAACTGCACGTGATTGAAAATGGGAAATGGGAAGTCCTGGCCCAAAAATATTAAATAAATATAGGGTTGACTTTTTCTTATTAAATGTTAGTATGTGTTTCAAACTCATGGAAATAAGTATGTGTCATTTTGTATTAGGCAGCCTGTTCTTTGCAGAAAGACTAAAGAACTTGACAGGTTGTGGAGATAATATCACACTTTTGGTAAAGCAATTCCTCTTCATATCTGCTTATATCAGTCAGGTTTCTTTTTTTTAAATTTTATTCCATAAAACAAAAACAGTTTTTCAGCACTTTCACATGAAAGCCTTGTAGGAAAGGTTTTGCCTAATATATTTTCTTCAAAATTGCCCAAAGTTGACTTGCTAAATTAGAGGAAGATCTCTAACCTTGGAAATCCATAAGAAATAATTAGGGTTATGAAAATAACTTTAAGAGATTAATAATTTCTAAGAGATTGTTTGATGACTTAATTAAGAAATAAGTTGTAGTTAAAATATTTTTGGAATATTTAAAAATGAGGCTCTTCAACTTTCTTCATGTCTTTCTTTTTGTTAATGCAATTCCAACACATGGAAATGTTTAATTGAATTGAGAAATAAATGTGTTTACTGTAAATTGCTTAGCCTTGAATTGTAATTACAATTTTGCTTTCTTTTTAGGATTATTTAACCATCCATAAGTATGGCAATGCAGCCAGAAATGATCTCTGGAATACGCTTTCCGAGGTACGTATAGGAAGCCCGGATGCCAAGACCTCCTCTTGAATATTTGAATTGAGTTTATAAAACAGTCACAAATTTTGACGCTTACAATTTGTTTTTGTTTTTTATACTTTTCTTTTCCTCATATTGCTTTCTTGTTTTATTTTTGATATATTGCATGCATATTATAAAGATAATGGTGTTTAAAGTACAGATGGTAATAAAAGATATCTTGCCTATTTTCAAATATGACGATACTTCTGAAATATAATTTTAACTGTGGTATCAGATTCATGTTCAAGAGAGAAATATGGACATTTGAAGAAATTGTTTTCTATATGTGAATAACAAATATTTGTTTGATACTAGACATACTGAGGATACTTAATGACTCTGCAAGTACTTGATTTAATAATAAAATATGTTTTACCTTCCATTAAGTAAAGACTTATATATATATGATATATAAGATATATATGTATATATATATATGCATGAAGATAACCTAAGGCAAGATTAATTTTACTAACATTATATTAGCTTTACTGATTTTAAATAATTTCATAATTAGGTAAATCATAAAGGTAAAAATAAAAATGGTTGAATGATAATTATAATTCATGTTTATATAACTAATTTATACAACTTTGGTTATAAAGGCTTTAAAAAGGAATGGAAAATATGTAAATATACAAGAAGTAATGGACCAGTGGACACTCCAGATGGGTTATCCTGTTATCACCATCTTGGGAAATACAACAGCAGAAAATTGGATAATAATCACCCAACAACATTTTATTTATGACATCAGTGCTAAAACTAAAGCACTCACGCTTCAAAATAACAGGTACTACACTTTTTTTACGTGAAAAGATTTTTTTTATTCTTATGTTTCACTGTGCATTTTTTATATTTTAAAAAACATTGCTAACACTATTCTGAAATGTTATACGCAAAATGTAATTTGGATTTCTGTATTTACATATGGTATTTTCACTTTGATTCCTCTTTTACTCCCCTTTCCAGGTATTTTAACCATCAAGATGATCACATACCAAAGTTATTTTATTTAGGACGGCAAAATTTAAATTATCATCAATGATTTAACAAAATAATGTGTGATTATTTACCTTTCCCTATAAATGTTTGTTGAATTAAATTCAAGATGCATTGAAGTGAATTAAATTGGAAGTAAGCAAACTGTGATTAATAAAACAGAAACTAAACAATCCAGAAAGACTAATTAAAATGTAAACAAAAAATTAAAAAACACACCCACAACTAGACTAAATAGTTTCTGAGCCAAAGAAACTTAAACCAGATTCATCTCTAAATGGTCTAACCATCAATGTCACTTAGTATCAAAATATGTTCTCTTCCCTCATTTTTAGTATTTCAAACCACTAAAAAGACAACATACACAGAATTTTGATTCTTGATACTTGAACTTTCTTTTGAAACTCTCATTTAATTACTGATAATTCAGCACCAAGTGTTTCTTTTCTTTATGTTTTCTTAGTGTTTTGTGCCTTATTAAAGGGTGAGTCAAGGAAAGATAGTAGACCTTTATCACTGTTTCATTTTTTATTAGGTGCCCTGATAACAGGCACCTAATAAAGGTGGGACAGGGAGGGATGGAGGTTGAAATTCATAAATCAATGAAGTGTCTGGGTGAGGTTGGTCATGCTGTCTTCTGTTACCTTGGAATATTAAGAGCCTGACTTGATCACCCACCAGCATCTAGGAGATGAGAGACAAGGATTAAGTGTTTTTTGTTGTCCCAAGTCGCCTAGCTCCAAGACAGGCTACAGTAGAAGTGATTGAGAAATGTATTCATTCTTCTGGTGACTAAATTTGGAATTCCATTTAGAACAGCATTGACTTCAATCTCCTGCCTAATATCTATCATCATCTATCTATCATCTATCTATCATCTATCTATTATCTATCTATTTCTATCATCTATCATCTATCTATCATCTGTCTACCTTATCTATCAATCATCTACCTATCATCTATCTATCTATCTATCTATCTATCTATCTATCTATCTATCTATCTAATCTATCATCTATCTATCTATCTATCTATCTATCTATCTATCTATCTATCTATCATCTATCACCTATCTATCATCATCTATCATCTATCTATCATCTATCATCTATCTATCATCTACCTATTATCTATCTATTTCTATCATCTATCATCTATCTATCATCTGTCTACCTTATCTATCAATCATCTACCTATCATCTACCTATTATCTATCTATCATCTACCTACCTATCATCTATCTATCTATTTATCTGTCTATCATCTATCTATCTATCTATCTATCTATCTATCTATCTATCTATCTATATCTATCTATC